ATCTCTCTGTCAAATGGCAATTTTAATGCGCTATCCTGGCGTCAAGCAGGCTCGGTCGAACACAAGCAACTGCGGACCTTAACAAAGGTTCCCCCAAAGTCGCATTCGTTAGTGAATGAATCTCGGCCAGTGTAATTGGCCTTCCCATTGAGTCTGTGGCACACTCACCCAGGGTAGGGGTTGACCCTTTGATGTTCAGCCTAAGGTAGGATTTGAACATGGGTCTACCGATCATGAGTCTGGAGCGACAACCACTATGCTATCAGTGACCGGTCAGGATATAGTTGTTAAATGAAAAAGTTTTTCTTTCTTTTTTGTTGTTTAAAGTGAAAATTGTGATATGAATTCGATATTTAACACCCCTGATCCTTCTCCACCCCAAACACAACATATCATAACATCGCCGATGATACTCAGTCATATTCACATATGGACCATTTTAATGACGTATATTGGCACGGAATTTTTTAACAACTTTAACAACAAATTTCACATAAGGAATTTATATTAAAATATCACATACAAGTGAAAGAAGTAAATGTAAATTAACGTTAATGATACGAATTCGTACATGATTAGGGAACAGCATATGAACAAACATCGTGGAATCTTTGTATTCACATTTACTGAGAAAATCGAAAGTGACAAGCCAACACTTTTATTGTTATCAGTGTTTATCAATTTTAGTCGAATCACTCTGGTTTGTCGCAAAATATATTAGTGGCTTATGTAGGGTGTCTGCTCACACACAGACATTAACATGTATATATTTAAAGACCCAATACTGTAATGACCAGTGCAAATATAACCCAATTGTCGTCACCAAGCACAAAGCTGTCTTTAAATATTGTAGAGAGAAGATGATAATCTGCACCTACTAGATTCTAGCGAGAACGTGTCATTGCTCACTGTATCGAATTCCTAAACGCCGACTCGAGAAACAAAATAAGTAGCACGTATACTGCATTTTCAAAATCGTAACGGATATGACGTGTATATCACGGCACGTGATCAGCTGATCCAATCGCTAGCAGTTCCTGGCCTGCAGAGCAATCACACCACGATCAGAATTTGTACCCATGCGCGGTTCTTTTTTTTGTTGAAAAAAAGTCTTTTCTGACTAATTGGCTAACAGTTTGTTGTCAACTTTAGTATATATAAAGTCGCGGATGGTTTATGTATATCAACGAAACACGATAGTTTCAACAACAATAATATCAAATACAAATACCAGCATATTTACCTTTGCGTAACTACATCGCAAAAATAGGTAAAGTGTTAGAAGGGTCAAAGGTCTATGACTCCGGCTACCCGTTTTGCGACCTATACCTGCCTTAGGGCTGTTAATGTTAAAAGTTACAATTACAGTAGTCCCTAAATTATTATAAATGGTAGCCTAATAGACAGCCGGAAATACCAGTATTATCTACTTTAAACACACTATTTAAATCTTGTTAAGTACGGGTTAAGTTCCTAAAACATTTAACTGGAGAGAATGGGTTAACATCTATTGAAAGATATAATATAACCCGACGGACAAAAAATCAAAAACAAAAAACAAACAAAAACAAAACAAAACAAAAACACCAAAACAAAAACGAAAAATACCATGGTATTTTTTAAATTTCAATTTCACGGATTTACAACTTCTTCTTTATTTCGATAATTTAAGATTTACGACGTGGTGACAGCTCACGTCGAAAAGGAATTGAAAATGAATCACTAGATAATTCGAGCGAATTATTACACACTCGCGTTCCCGTTTTTATGGAGAAAGAGGGAATTTTTTTTCTAATATCGCAGTCCGTGAAATCAAAAAATAAGTTAGGCTTAATATTAACATATTTTCTAATGTTACTTAGAAAAAAAAATACGAATGTTTGAGTAATTGTCCTTGGAAAGTCTGGGTTATGTTATAAAATGGTGTAATTATGAGTATTTTAGTTACTTTGTTGTTAGTATTTAAATTTTATTGAAGTTTTAGTCATTTAAAAACAAACAATAAGATAACACCACATCTAGACTTTCAATAAAGTGATTTTTACTTGATTTTTCTCCCAGGATTAAAAAATATATGATTTTTTTACAAATTAAAATATTAAAAATTATGAACAAACGTGGGTAATCATTTCCCCATAGAGTGTCACCACCGGAGTATTTTTGCATATTCTATGCGACTGAATTTCGCTTATTATTATGCATTTGTCCCGACATGCCGTCGATGTGCGGTGGACGTAACCTGTACAACAGTTGAGAGCGTCGCTAAGTGACAAGACAACCATTTTAATTGCATTTGGCATACAGCACCTCAGACTTATCCGATTGATTTACTTACATACTTGTTGAATCGCATTACACGGCAGGCAGCAAGCAATAGACGTGTTTAACATCCAATTACAAATACCGTTGTTTGCTAAACATTCTTTACTGAGGAGCGCATTTGCCATAGAAAGCCTGGGGTAGAGCTAATGTGCGTGTTATTGGACTTTATGAAGCACACTATGCTTGGCATAAGACCAAATTGACACCAGTCTATCCAGTCAGTATTCAGTGTAATCATTGTAGCGATAACGCTGTAGTTTGTGAAAAACAAATTTGTCTACAACCAAAATACATTTATCGGTTTTCTAGACGGTGATCGTCGGGGGAAAGAGGGATGCCAAGAGGGGGCTACCTTACGGTAGAAATGGTCAACTCATTTTGATATATAGAGGGGGTATCTAGGTCAAAAGTTCAGATTCTATTTAGAAAGAAAGAAGCCTGCAAGAAAAGAAAATCCACTGTGCCAATAAGAAATTGAAGTGATTCGTGTGTACACAATGTCTGTTTCACAATAATGCATTGTTTAGTATGTTTGTTATAATTCACATTCAGTCAAAGGTCTGAAAAATAGCACTAGTAATATTTGCTATTTGATGTTACATGTTGCTGAGCAAGGGAACAATTTCGTGTTCGTCTCTTTAAACAATTAATAATATTCAAACACCATATGATTTCATTGTCTTTAAGTTTAACAATAGGCACACATGTGTGATTTGGTTTTGTTTCATTAAATAATTACTATTATATAAGCTGCACAAATATTTTCGTTTACGATAAATCATAATATGATGGGTTCATTAATATACAAATGTTGAACGTGAGCTAGGAGGGTCCTCACAAATGATATCTAACGCTATAAAGATGAATATTTCATTGTCATAATAAATAAATCTTTAAACTGAAACTGTGAAACACAATCGTATATGGCAATCCCATAAGACACACTTGTAGAGCAGAATGCATGCATGCACACAAATATAGAAATGGAAGAATTCGATACTAGTGGCAGACTTTTATAGTGGACGTTCGTTTCACCTGCACGATCTTAAGGACCTATTATTTCAGCAGGCACACCTAGCAGATTGAGCTTGACGAAAAACTACTTTTATAAACACCACCCGGCACCATCCCCGGGGCGCCAGACGATGTCAAAGTTCACCTCAAAACACTGAACTGAGCCACTGTCTTTCAACACATACGCTATTCATAATATTCAGATATGCTGTCAAAATACTCAACCTAACCACAACGACAATGTTCTATAATTCTCTGATGTCTCACAGATAGCGCAATTCAGGAGCGCAGGACTTGCGGCAAGCTCGACTAAAAACCAAGCGAAACAATTGAGTTTACTTCTACGTATGGTGTCCCATAAACAAGCTATTGACATAACACCCAGTTGAAGGGCTCTGGGTGGGGATATACATTGGAAATTAAATATCCACGTCTGTATCTATATTCCCTATTTTACAGTCGAAAATTTAATTTAACAATTTTCATCTGTTAGTGTATTTGTCTATAATTTCTTTGTTAATTTTGAACGAAATTGGCGTAATTACATGTTGTCTACCGGTCTTCATCAGACATTAAAATAATACTTGTTCATTGAGGGTTGCCTTTTATACTATTTGACATTGGCCACCAGGGTCAAAACCACAGTAAAAAATGCGATTAACGAATACTATGGCCAGCGGAATTAGTGTTATGTAAGAATCACAATCTTTCTAAGTCTACATGAGTTAAATTAGGAATATTTAACACTTGGGCATATCAAAGAAATACGGGTTAACCTGACCAGAGTGCGCGTCACTTTGAAATGAGCGAGTCGCGGCATCTATTAGGATGCCCCCCCCATAAATTCAAGCTACTGAATCTAAACTAGAAAAAAAATATTGTACAAAAGAAAAATTGTCAGCGCATTGACTGGAAATAAAAGAGCGAATGGTAGCACATCGCAAATCATGTGTAAGCTTGCATTTTGTTTTGGTTTCGCTTTTTTTTTATTTAAACCGCTTCTTTAATCACCTGTTACTGGGAAAGTGCTGGAATGCTAGCGTTTAAAGCGGGATGGGGGGGGGGGGTCGTCACCTGCGCATGCCCGGGAATTGAGACCCAAGCGACAATAACAACACACGCTAAAAACGCAAAGGCTCGTTAATAAGCGCATGCTTGTCTGAAAACAAAGACACGCCATTGCCGTTTGACGCATGCGCAGGTGACAATTCCCCGCATTAGCTACATCTTATACAGTTGCACATACTTGTGTATGACGTGTTCATTTTAATATGAACACGGAATTGGTGGCGTGTGAAAAGTAAGTTTTAACTGAGAATCAAAGTAACAGGCGATTTTCCGTTCACTGTGAGACCTCACGCAATGCCTGCAAGGGGCGGAGTGAACGTCTGCTGCAAAAATAGAATGATATGATTTTTGAATAGCCTTGAGTTCAGTGCCGAAATTTCGAGGTTTGGGGGGCATATCGATGGAAAACACTCTCTTCTGCAAAATTTATATTTTTTTTTAAAGCATAATTTTGACCTTGGAAATATCCAAGAAAACACTTGCTTGTGTCGTTTTTTGTTTTACATTCGATTTCACGCATTACGCGAGATCTCACAGTGGACAGAAATAGTTAATTATCACAATCACATACTCAGCAATTCACAGGAAACATCGTGTTACATTTTCCAGAGACTTCACGTATACGATTTATTGTAACCTAAAACAACATGTTTATATTCCTTTAAATGGCAGTACATAGACAAGGAGGCAAGACTTCTGGTTAACTAATATCACTTGAATATTATACCCACAATGCCCGTTCTATTTCCGTAATTTCTGGTTTATATACATATACAAAACAAATGGAATGTTGGGAAACGTTCCCCTGCAACAAATGCTAGGTTTACTTTTGAAACGGTAAACCACAGCGAGGAATCACAAATACCTATAATATTCATCATAACTCTTATAAAATGATAATTGTGATGCACAAAATAACTGAACAGACATTAAATGATATGTAAATTATCCATGGTTGGCATGGAAATGTGTTCGATATTTCAAATTGTACGCCTGAAGAAGTAGACCACGGCGAGTTGGATATATGAAGAAATGTTCACATTTTTGTAAAATATACATCTTCATATAGTGCAACTATAACCACATTTTGGCGTAGCGTACACTTGTCTGTCAGTTTTCATGACATTCGATCCTGGGGTTGTTGAACAATTTTCTCGCTCGTGGTGGAGTACACTTTCTTCTGGATCTTCTTCATTTCTGTACTAAACGGATGAGTGTCCCGCACGTGCGTGTAGTGATCTTCTGTTCGCCGTGATGTGTGACCGCATTCCTCACACACGTGGAGTTTCTCCCTCCGCTCTTTAAATGCATACTCGAGATTCACCGAATGAACTTTCTTCAGGTGGGATTCGAGAGAGCATCTTTGAGTAAAGGCCTTATCACATTCACTGCACTTATACGGACGAACACCTGCAAACAAAAAAGGTTATTAAAAAATCAACATTTTTATAAAAAAAAAAAAAAAACCTTCCTGTGTAATCTAATCTGGCCAGGGTAGTTAAAACTAATATCAGCTCGGTTGTCTTTAAACAACTTGAATACATATATCGATATTTTTTACTACAGGATTTTTATGTAGAAAAATGAAATCTGCCCCTAACGTGAAATTTACACCTATGTACTACCTCACAACATTCGTGGATAATATTTTTAATAAATTAGTGGTCAGATAATGGTATATATTAACACATTCCTTTTAACAAAGGGGTTACTAGACCCCAAACACATTATCTAGTCATATGGTTAAATAGTAGACCATGGACATGAATTCTTCTAAACTATAATATACGACCACGTGACATGGATGACTACTTTTAGGGTATGAACCGACGGCTATATTTGACCTTCATAGAATACACCGTTTGAATGCCAAAAAAAAGGTATCTATGCTTTCTTTACATACAATTACTACACACGTGTTTGAAAACTACTAAGTAAGTTATCAATCGCAACTGAAAAAACATGGTGGAAAAATATGTTTTTCATCACCTGTATGAGTTCTGATGTGACGCTTTAGATCAAAGTTGTCGTTGAATCCCTTTCCACAGTACGTGCAGTGATGGCGTTTGTCTTTACTATGACACTTCAGGTGCCGCATTAAGATTCGTTGCACATAGAATTTCTTGTTGCACTGTGGACAGGAATGGCGTCTTTTAGATTCGTCAACACCATCCGAGCATATTGAATCATCCCCGAATGAAGAACCAGAGTGGCTTGACCCAGAATCACAGTCACGTGATTCACCGTCGCTTTCTTTGGATACATCTTCGGAGAGTACTTCGTTCACTACGTTCTAGAAGGGAATACAAACAAAATTAAAGATACATCGTGCGATAGGACAGTTTTGGCTTCCATTTCCGGATCCGACCGTTTACTCATTATTAGTATATAGAGTCTGCTTCTCCAAACACGCGATATAAATGTGGAAGATAAATTGCAGTTAGTACCAACAGCACATACACTTCTGCAAAGTCCATATGTCTCACACTCCTGCAAAGTCACATATGTCTCACAATGGTCAGAAAAGAGGCCTGACACAACTAAAATCGAATTAAGATATACAGCTAAACTAATATCATGATCTTCTGCACTGAACCATTATACGGATTTTAGAGAGAAAAGCTTTGCTGCTCACCAAATTATGTCGCGAGAAAATGTTCGTTATGAATACATTCATGTCGCCATTTTAAAACATTTGCTATGGTTAGTTTCTATGGTTAAGAAGCATTACTTATTTCGCAATTTTATATTTTGTTGTCTTGACTGAGTTTTAAAATCTACGATTTTAAAATAAGTTAAAATTAAATTTGCGTTATTAGTTCGTTCTATAGAAACTGGCCGTAAGAGAAAAGTTCGATAATATTTAGTAATTTTTTTCTAAATATATTTGTCCACCAAACAATACAAAGTTGATCACTACATACTACATACATATATTCTACTGTTTACTGCAATTTCTACCCCACCCCCCACCCCACAATACGAGTAGGCTTCGACCATTAAGTAATAATCATGCAAGTATGGAACACCACATCGTCTGCAACTGAGCCGTGACATCACGAGGCATACTATTTGAATACAGTTATAGAAGCGGATCGTGAAGAATTCGGGATGTTGTCAAGTTATTCACAACGGGCTTGAAATGTGACAACGGCGGAATAGTTCAGATTCCTGTATAACAACCGTTATTATAATGCCGCCTACTTTTGTGCCAAAAAGCGTAGGTGTATCTTTCTTTCCAGTTCAGTTATTTTAGTTGCACTGTTATCTGGACTGATACATTTAAGGCAATTTGTTTTTAACACAGATGCGCACTGTTTTTTTTATTGGTATTCTAAAATTGTTAAATTTATGGTGCCTTTATTTGTTTTTTTTATGATATTTTCATTAATTTTTAGAATTGTGAATGAAAAAACGTAAAATCCGTTACGCGCAATGACACCATAATGACCAAAAACATAATTTTCTTCTAAACCTAGTGTATAGAAAACGATAATTACTGCTACCATCTAGCACTTTCTATACCTTTGAACCATACACTACCAGTTGCTACGTTTTATCAGCGAGCCAGCACGCCGCCACAATTAGTTACACCGCAGATCGAATGAAACCAAAGTTTCCCTAATGGACGCAGGGTGATAAATAAGATTGTCTTGACAGAAAGGTGTGCCATAGAAATTAGGTTCCCAAATATTCCTGGTATTTTAAAAAGGAAATATATCATGATACTAGTGCCTTTTCTTCACAACTGCGTGGTCGTCGATTATTCGCCGTACTAAGCATATACGATAACCACACGACGACCATCAAGTCCCCTTTGCATTTTATCAGATACGTTCAGTTACTACAATTAATTAATAAACTTTACTTTAAACTTTACCGCTTATATCTCAATAATTGGTGCAATTTAAAAGTACACGAGTCAACCTGGTCTATGTTTATTGTTAAATAAATATTAGAAAAACAATTTTGAACATCGTTTTTTTTTTCTTGTTAGAAAGGGTGGCGAAAATAAGTAGATATACAAATATACTAGGTAGATCTCCATGGTGTGCTGATGGCGAACCGCATCGCTTCTTCTTCTTTCTGCTCTTAAATCCTGCATATAAATCACCATGTTTGAACATAACTTATGAAAAACCAACTACGACAAGGCTTAAAAGGGACACCAAGCAAGTATGTAAGGTCGCGACAAAACAACTGATCACGTGTCTATAATTATAAAATGGTTGTATACCACACTAAAAACGCCCTGGGCCATGAACGCATAAAGTTAGTCTCAGTGTTTGTCTATCTTTTTTTAACTAAACGTTTGCTTTGTAGAAAGGCACTTTCTGGTGAAGATTTCGATGTTCATCAACTATTGTAGGAGAATCTGCTAATGGCGTGGAGTGACGAGTAATACTTCAGTGTAGCGACCATGATAGATGCTATTTAAGCAACTACCCAAGGATCTGAACGATCTCATCTCAAGTAACACATCATCATTGTCGTGCTTCTAAAATGATGACCTTGTGTTCTTTGATTTATTAGCAATGAGAGGAAAAACGACAAAGATTGTGATGCTGGGGCTCAGACAATTATATGCAAAACAATCGGCCGAGAAAACAAGTAAAGAGTGAGTGGGGGGAAGTATTTTTCACCAATCGGTCCCCTCCGGCATAGCTTGTCCCAATTTTAACAAGTGTGGTGGGTCGACTGAATTGTCATACAGATCTTAAACTGGCTGTTTGGAGGTTAAAATCGCAATTCTACAAGTTAAAGGAAACGTATAACTATGATTCAGTATTCCAGAAACTGGGAGTCAGGCAAAGATCACGTGGCTTTCACGGCGAGTTTTTTGGAACGCGCGACACTAACCTTCAATCAATGTTAAAGTCGTCACCTGCGCATGCGGCAGATGGTCATAGCGTGTCGTTGTTTACAAACAAGTGTCTACCCATGAGCTTTGCGTTTTAAGTGCGCGTTGTTATTGTCGCTTAGAACTCAATTTCTGCGCGTGTGCGCGTGACGATCCCTCCGCTTTAACCTACAATAATGTTTATTAAATATATTGTTGTGCTATGTAAAGATAACGAATGCTAATGTCACTTCGACTTTTTTGTTAAAATTGAAAGCACAAACGTAACCGTGCAATTTACCATTGAACCTATATCTGTGTTAAAGGACGGTGGTCGACGCACCGCGTCCTATCCGACTTGCGACTAATAGTGACGTACACAAAGGGTGAAAAATACATGATATTTGAACACACGCGATATAGGTTCAATGGTAAAATGTAACAGGAATTTGATGCGCTATCTTGGCGTCCACTAACATGGTCGAGCACAAGCACCTACGATCCTTAAAAGGCGATAGTCGTCGCGCCACGCATCCGAGAGATATATGGGTCTCATATAAACAAAGATGGCGACTTTGACTGTTGTGCAGTTCAACAAGTACAAACAGAGACGTTACTAAGCGTTCATTTTTTTACGTGATTGGAAGGTATCGAAGGAGTCATCGGCGGTAATTAGTGCAAATTGCGCCCAGGTCAAACCTCATACTTGTGATTTTCATGAGAATACGCATTGGATTGTGGGAAAATCAATTTATCAACATAAATATCGCACATGCAAAGAGCGACGACCACCGCCCTTTAACCTAAGCTCCCCAAAGTCGCATCGACCAATGAATGGATATCTGGATTTTGCTTAACCATAGCCACTGTGGTATATTCACATAAGGTAGAGTAGCTTTGGCTGCCCTATTGAATCTGTGGCATAATCATCCGGGCTGCAGTGGTTTTAGATTTTCCCCGTCCAGTCTGGGGAAAGCTCTCAGGGTAACTTTGACCCCCCCCCCACCCCACATTGAGTTCTTGGCACACTCACCCATGCAACAATGGTAATGGCCTTTCTACTGAGTCTGGGGCACACTAATCCAAGATACAGTGGCATTGGTCTCCCAAGTAATTACTTGGCACACTCACCCAGGGTATTGTTACTTTTACCTCCCTATAGAGTCTGATGTGGCACACACAGTGGCTTTGGTGTCCCCAACGAGTCTGTGGCACCCTCACCCATACTACAATGGTTTTGATCTCCCCACTGAGTTATTTTAATTCGCAGACGTACGATGGTTTTAAACCTAAAATTCTGAAAACAAAAATCGCTTTGAGATATCTCGAGTAATTTAAAGGAGATCGATTAACATCTCTTATGCAGCTAAAGTCAAGTCGGTTTATTATAAAAGCGAAAGCATTCTCACAGGTTCGGCCAAACTCGCGAAGTCGTGTTTTCGTATAGAATCTTTTTATGTTTTTTTTTTTTTTTTTTTTTTTTTTTTAAAAATCGGACAAGAATAAAACCAAAGCGTGATTTTAATACAGTGTGCCTGCATCACCTATAGTTGGCCTCCCATTTTTAACATCGACGCGATCCGTGCCATGGAAACAATTACATATCAACTTCACGCCCGTTTTGCTTCAACTCACTTTTTTACTAGCCGACGTGACTTAAAGATGATCACTGTCCGCTATAGCCGCTTTATCATTGTGAACAATGCGGGTAAATACGGGGAGTTGTACGCAATGAAAACGTGTCTTGGCAAATAACAAGTAACAGTAACCAGGCCATGCTCGCTATTCAACGGTAACAATGGTGTGGCGTCCACTATCCATATGAATGAAAGCAGTCACCGTTATTCTTTCCTATCCTATGTTTTTTTATAACGAGTTTGTCTGTTTTATCCGAGTCAGTTACGCCGAATTTCATTCTACCTTGCGAGTAAATAAATTGGGGATATAGACTGGTTTTCGTACTAGTACTGAATGACAAAGATCAAAACAATATTTGGCCTTAAGTCAATAAGTTAAAGATGCCTTTTCTTGGTGGTTGATCACCGTAGACACATTCAAAAATGCTGCTTTGGTTCTCAAGTACTCACAAAAAACAACCAGCGCGGAATTCATAACACATTATAGATTAACCGTGTTTGCGCCGTACTTTGGCTACACCACTTAAAACCAACCAAACGGTCATTAGGTGTGAATTCTACGAGTATTAAGCGTTATACGACTACTAATGCACCCAAATAACTCCTCCCCAAAACATCGATTAGATAGGCAAGTTCCAACACGTATTATGACAAGTACGAATGAGCAAAGTATTGCTTTAATTGTTTACTAGTACGTACCGTTAGGGTGGGAAATTATGGGACCAATCCAAGTAAATGGCTCGCAAATTACTCACATAAATTTTTATTATGCCATTGAGTGAAAGAAAGTCCTTGGTAGGGGTGAATGGGGTAGTCGAGTGTCAGATGTATTTTTACTGCGTCTCCGTTGTAACTAAGACGAGAAGCATGCTAAGTAGCCAAAAACGTAAACAAAATATACCGGCATGTATGAGACTGTTATTCTGTAGACAAGGCAATGTTATTCTGATGAGATACATTAAATAACAAACACTGTTGTGAAATATTGAAACTCCCATTTCGGCATCGCCTTTTTCTCACTTTGTAATTACCCTGTTTGTAGTAACAAGGGCAATGTCCGCGATACAAGGCCACATAAAGAAGATAACTGAGAAAATAACAAGATTCAGTTTGGAGTGGAGTTTCACCGTTCAACAATTAGGGCCAAACGCGTTTACATACAGTATAACATTAATTCAATCAATATATAAAGCACATAATTAAAATTAATTAATGAATTAGTATATCTAATTTTATTCATTTATTTATTTATTCATTCATTTTTTTCTAGTCAAGTTAGCGTCCTGCTTCTAAATAAAGGAAAACAGTCTACTGCGGGTACTGTGGGCGTATAATTCAGGTTGTCGAGTGCTGAAGGGCATGAATCTAGATATCAACAGGTTCCGCGCTTCCAAACACCAACAGCGCAGTGCACAATGACGTATGGATAGCTTCACAGTTAATAACGGGCGGCTCTTTACCTTTGAAAAGTCAGAAATCAAGAGCAGACCGAGATGAAAGAGATATGAAATACGACAATTGGCTTAAGAGACTACAAACCTCATATTTGGTACATTGAATGCCCAAGGCTTCTACGCTCTTTTCATCTTTATATGCGTTATGAGTCTCGGGAGATCCCTTACCGGCGCCGAGCTTACAGGGGTCTGGACAGTTTGTGTTTGGTGGTTCGCCATGCATATCAACAGAGTGATACATAAACTCATCTAAGCAGGTAGAAGATGGTCGTAACGGCCTGAAAACTTGCTCTAAAAAGAATCAAAGAAAAAAAAAAACGTACGTTAAAGTTGCTTTAAAGGTGTGTGATGATAATAGTAAAATGTGCAACCCTGGCTGAAAATTCGCAGTTTTCTAAACTCGTGAAAATACGTTCCCCCAAAAAGATTGAAATATTTGTATACCGTTGCGTAGAACTTCCTATTGTAACAATTGTTTATAGGATATTTTTGTGTTGCCACGGTTACTGCGCAGATAAATCTCACGTTTCAATTTAAGCAGATATGCTTAAAATATTTTTTTTTCAAAAAATTAAGATGTTTGATTGTAATAGTAAATTTTCCAAACTCGTGAAATTTGTGAATACATGTCTCTCTCCCAAACAGATTGAAACATCTGTATACGGTTACGTATGGGAATTATACAGGTAATTCCGCACCACTGCGCATTTTAGGATTTTTTTTTTAATTTGTAAAACAATCGATCGTAAGAAAGCCCATAAGACAATATATTCAATTTCCGTTATTCAGTAAGTTAGGCAACGTAACACAAACACGTACATTGCGTTATACCCTAAATTAAATTGAGAATACTAATTAGTCTAATGTTTCTCTCTGTTGATATTCAATCACCGTGGGTAAATGATTTTGTTTTTCTCCTGTCAGCTTTGCATGGTGCCTAACGACATTATGAAATACGACTTCGTAGTTGCGACGACGTTCAGACGATTGCATATGCATTCAGAGCACGGTACATCAATCAATGTGATATATTGCTCCATCAGTGAACATCATAGCTGGCGGAAGTGAAGCCGCTCATTTTATCTTTTCCAGTATTTGACAATTAAGACAACATGAGCGCTTGATCACGCTTGTAACAATCATCCTACGCTACCCCGCCGTTCCCACAATGCAGTACCTCGAGGGTGCACCGAGTAGCTACGCTGCACCAGCCAACAAACTTTCCGACATCCCATCTCTCCGCCGAGGGTTGATGGACATCACGTGACGCTCTCCGGAAGTAGCGTTCCTTAAGGCCTCCTAGTGGTAACGGTCCGTGAGCAACTGTTATGCCTAATCAATAAGTTGGGTAGCGGGGTCATGCCCACGGGGGTTATATACTCTGTGGACATTCTCCCACTTTGTATGAGCCCCTTCTAATGTAGATTTCAGTGGCCCCCACAAAGTCTGGAATGATTTACGAAGAGAGAGACATAAAAACCTTAAGTAGTACGCTACCACCACAAATGAAGCGTACACGAGTTGAATGAATGTACCTTGAACAATACACTTTCCTTATTTTGAAGGGAGCCACTGAAACCTGTGCAGTCTGCCGTACAGGCTGTTTGTTCATTTTCCACCAGTAAAACCCACATGATGGTGATCAGAAAAAAATACGTAAAGCAAATATTCCGAGCATAAACAGGTTATAATTCCGGGGAAACTTTGTTTTTGCTTTTTTACTTTTCAAGAAATTGAATTATATAAATGTCCGTGTCAGTGTCTTCGAATGCAGCAAATAAAGTTTGTTTTTATTGCAGCCCCAAACCACTTAATATCGTACTTTTTAGTACAAACTCCAATACAGATTACCCGCGATGACAGGTTGGTGACGTGGTTGATGACGTGGTTCAAGTTTATGGCGTGGTTGATGACGCGGGATTATCACATACAGTCCAACTGTCAGGGCGACTCGTACACTGTATGTCGACTGTGATCGCACATTTATATTATAAGCGCCGATGTAAAAAAAGATGAAACATATGACGATGGATTAACCCCTAGAACAACGTGTCATGCAATTGTAGATGCGACCACCCGCTGCAATTTCAATGTGCTAATTATTGGCGATGATGATGATAATGTTGATTGTGATAATAATGATGACGTTTTGATGGGGAGTAAACCGTAACTGGTCACACACAAAAATAACGGTATTGCCGTATACTATTTAATCACACCCCTGATTGGTCGGCTAAATACATAATTATTCCCCTATCAATTGAAATTATCTGAAAGAACAGTTGCATCTTTAAAAAGTAACCCGACACCCTGCGAAAAACGTCGATTTCTAAAAGCATTGTCTCCCTCTTAGAACGCTACCCAAGACCCCCTTGTCATCGCTAAGACGTCAGTTTTAACAAGTATCGACGGTATCATTTACACACAAAACGTGTGGAAACTCTTAGAAGAATACATCGCCTAGACCGTACAGGGAAAGGAGATTTGTGAACAGTTACATTTATTTGTAGCCAAGGTCATACTGAGTCAACACGCTGGTATAATTTTCAAATTCATTTCATATAGTTGTTCTGCTTACAGTGTTAACGTAAGAAAATATTGAACGAATATGAAATTAACAAGCACGAGTTAGTTTACTATTAATTGAACAGCCGGGAATAAACTGTCAGGGTGTTCCGATAAAGCTCCACATGATGACTTGTTGTCTATATATTTTTTCAGTTGCTTTTGTGTCCGTCGGCCTAAACATTCTATTTGCGAAGTATGTTAGAGTGAGAAAAACATGGCGCAGATATACGGGTAATATGTGTGTTCTAAACATCTAAAGTTCGGTGAATCCGCGGGTATTATCTGTGTAAATAAACAGATTAGTTAGGTAAACAAAAACGATAAAAACTAAATTGTTCACAACTCACCGTCTAGGACCGACATACGAGCGAATCTTAGTGAATGGGAGATTGCATTGTGATACTTCTTAATAAGGAAAGATTTCGGCATCTTTGGTTGTTCAGTTCTCCTGGTAAAAGCGAGAAATAAGAATGATGAAGACAGGAAACTTGATGCGCGCCACGGGAGTTCTACTCTTAGCGTGGTGTACTAGCCGACTGGTAGTTTGCAAGTAACGGCGCTTTACAACCAAGAGGGACTGTTATGCAGTGTGATAAGTCCGTTCTGGTAGAGTGCGTAATTTGCATGGAATGCCACTCAACAGGAATTCCATAAACTAACACAGTCAGCTGACGATAGACTGAAAGATGAAAACAGAATCGTGGTACTCTCGCGTGATAAGAACGCGCGCCCTGACTGGCTGATAGCAGTTGTCGTAAACGATTTGGACAAAACCGACCAATCATGAACGAGATTTTATAACGAAAGATTAACAGGTGGTTCGGACCTCTCGACGCGCTTCAACAGCGGAATGTAGATTCCCTTTGTAACAAGAGCTGCAATCGCACCTACATCGGCAAGTAGATGGAGACGTGCATAAATCCGAGCGTAACCTCAAAGTCCAGATACTTTCCACGGAATCTTAATTGTCGTAGCTACTGTGTAAATGCAAATGAACGAATGGGCGTTAATAAAAGGAGGAGATTTCTTACCATGAACAATTTGCGTACCAAGTCGAGTATTTAAGCGGAACGTGGAGTTTTCAAACCAAGGAGTATATTGTACGTGATAGATATACATACCAATCTCGTTAAATCAATCGTTGGATCAAATCACCGGCAAGTTCACGGCTTATTTGACTTTACGTGAAGCGATAAATGCATTTAGGATTGTACCACTTAGTCGACAGAGGTGGAGGGATAAAGTGATTGAAGCTCACATGGTACAAATGGTGCTGTTTAAAGAGAACTCGGAACAATCGTGACATTATGAACGAAACGAATTTACCCCTACGACGGAATTCCCCTTAAACTTACAACTTTTGTGTCTGGCACGAATGTACTTAACGCACTGTGGCACCGGAACAATTACCACCGAAACAAAACAAAAATTATATTTTCAATGTCCAGTGGCGAAAAGAAATAAATTTTGTTGAATGATAGTTTGTTTTCCTGATCTTTTTTATTTTTGTTGGTATTTATTCCAAATTTATGTTAATGAGTTTGTAAAGAGGCAAACGAAGGTTATTTAGGAATAACGGCCTTAGTTGCTCTAGTGACTCTACTATTTTCAGCATGTTGCAATATTACAAATGTACGTCTACGTCATGATGTGCAAAACATTTTTTAATGCTTTTTGGTAATTATAACTCGACTAGCGAGAAACGAGCATTAAGATGACGCACTTGGCCCGAAACATTAATTAAGATACCTGTATATTGAAGATGAGATTGTGTGCTCGACTAGATCTACAACGAAAAACAGATACTCAGTGGAGGTTTCAGGCACGGCACATCAAGACACGATATATGAAAACGAGGCCCACAGAGAGAGGCCAAGCGTCAGCTATATGGACACGGGGCCCATGGGAAGAAGCCTATCGTCTTCTGTGTGAAAGCGTGTCCCACACGGAGAAAGTGATCGTCTGCCTCCAGGATTGTAATTATTAAACAGTCGTCGAGCTACAAGCAAAACGTTTATTATTTCGTTTTAAAACCAAAATTGAAAGCTGTGCATTTATGTTTGTCATTTGTGTGTGTGAAATGTGTACACGTAGTTGTTAATATTTGAGGGCTACCTAGCGTTGTCTTAGCAATGCGTATTGTAGAGTACTGCTCCAGTGTTATATTGATAGTTGTACACTTTTTTAATACACACTGTATCAAACAATTATATTAATCGAGGTGTTGTGACCGTAAAGACCAGAAATATGGCGGCTTTGGCGGTATTTGTAAATATAGGAATCGTGTTCTCAATAACTGTCAATATCTGTTAATCTTTGAGTGGATCGATTGTTATATCCAATTGTATATGGCGTTACTGGACTTTTTCTTTCTCATCCCACAATTATTGTGTTGAATCAGCATTCAAACATTCCTGCAAAGTCATAAATTTAGTAAGTATACAGTGAGCGAGTCTGAATCTGTGGTTAAATATTCGACAGCAAGAGGGCGGCAGACAGTACCATGACAGTTGTGAAATTTATGAAAAGTCACATGTCCGTTGCAAGGGTAGTGAAAGCATTTTAACTAGAAACACAAGTTTCATTGCGATACACGCCAAATTTAGAGATCGATGCATAAAAAATTAAAACATTAGAAGTATACATACATTTTCGAAGCTAGTCGCTGTGACTAGCTAATTGAAAATTTGAAGACAACAAGAACCCCAATTTTATGTAGTTTTCCTTTATTTAATTCAACATATCCATCAAACACTCTTACCCCTTCTTTTATTCGCGTCTTGTCTTTTACTTTTCGCTCAGTGAAATCAGCGTGCCTCCTTCTCAATCACTCTGATCTACCCGTAGAAGCAGATGTTCAGTTCTTCAGTTCTAAAACCAGTGCTGATTGGCCATTTGTGTTCGTGACATTCACGCATGAATATTAAAATCATAGCTCCCATGTGTCATTGTATGTTTGGAATGTAAAAACAAATAACGTACCCGAAAGTTCTTTACACCCCAGCAAAAAAAAATGCCCTCCTCGCCTAATATACTTATTTGATTTGAAACTAATGCAACAATATTTTATTGCCATAGAAAGTATTTGAAAGTTTGACAATGTGCGTTAAAAAAGAATATTTAGGTAGATGACTGTTTCACAATTCCGCAACTATTTTATTTCTAAAAAGTTTCAGGTGCACACTGCAGGTAATGAACTGTATATGTATGGACGGCGATCACCCGGGGTATTGCGTACATGGGTTGGTTCAGACAAACACAATATGTCAGATAAATATTCATATTATGATCACAATAATCTTTAAACGCCCACTTGCTACAGTAGACCCTAATACACACCAACAATAAAAGTTGATGAACAAGATTCGATGTAGTGAATTTACTCAACTCAAAACTTAGAATCTTGAAAATGACTTGAAAAAAAAGTTTAGTTAAAAAACTGGATAACATGCATACAGCGTAGCGTTTGACACCTGTTTTTTTTAAATATAAATTGACGTTATGGGCAAAAAAATGATAAAAATAAAAACATAAGAAAAATTCCATACTGCCATTTCGATATATATGATGATATTATACTTATGTTACCTTATCTTCATTAAGTTACATCATGCCATACTTGTATTGCTCGATATCTTATTAGGAAATGCGAATTTCAGATATGGAATTATTACGCGATATATCGAAGATGGCGGACATGTTTTAAAAGGAAATTCATAGTAAATTTCAATAATTTTAATCAATTGCGCATTGCTAGGCATCACATTTCAATCAGGCGGCCCGGGAAGATGTATAATTATAAGTTTACCAAGAGTACTAGTATATCACAAAACTTCAGATTTCTATTCGATTGCATCGACGTGTCACGTCGGTCGATATACCCGCTGTACTGTTTTCTGCCCTCTCCGTAGCGCCTTCGTAATAACATAATATTATTGTCAGCAGTCCTAGCAGCTATTGTCAAATTTCAAGTTTTTTGTTAACTAACATAGGTTGAAATAAATGCTGAGTTAATTTAACTTAAACAAGAAAATAAATAGTGGGTGAAATGTTCTCATCAAACAAACGAGGTCCTGCACTGCACTGTAATGGTGAGGTTTTTAGTGGAATGTGTTTCAATTTACCTTAAGAAACACATTTATTGTAAAAAGCAACGTCCATCCACTGTATCCAACATGGAATGTCCAGTTTAAATTATTACACACAAATTTACATGCAACTAACTACTCAAGTCAGCAAATTCTTTAAAATATTAGGAGCAAAATGTGGGTAGAAGTGAATGGAACATATTGTAACACCCAAACTCCATTTCAAATTGTCAATCCTTGTACATAACATGAGAGATGATCATTTCTCCGTTTTTCTAAGGCATCTCTATAAAATATTACCAGCGCCACCAGCGACCAAGTACTCGAATATTGAACACATACTAGTATTGACTGGTCACGAGGGCGATCGAATTCGTCTATTTCTCCCGGGCGCTGATAGAGACGTATATCATCGCCCTTGTTCAAATTCCAATTCTGCAAAAGGCACACACGCAATCATACACGTTTGTCCTGGTGTATTAGGCTAAAACCTGGGTACTAACCTTAAAGATGGGTTATACATTCGACCTAAAATACGTTTTGTTGAATGTGAATAAACTGCCCGTTTCATGCAATATTACCCAGAAATTATATCCTAACCAAATTGGCGCAATACAGTATATAACTGATAGTTTTTAGTGGATAAACTAATAGACGTGTTATGCGAACGTATACATAGAAACAGAATTTAAACATGTTTTCTTGTGCATGTATATGTTAATACATTAATGTTAAGAGTTAATTATTCATTGGGTTTAAATTTTGCTTATTTCTCTGACTGGAAAATGCGCTAAACACATTATCTAAATGATAAAACCGTGAATTTAAAACCCATTGAATATGCCTGAAATAGTAAATCAGCGAAAAGTAAACCCAGTGAAAATTAGTCATTTTTCAGTATATTTAGAATATGCGGGTTCTTCAAGATAACGTAATATCAATTGAAACTCCCAACACGTTTCCCTGGTTACATTAGGTGATAATTTAATATCATCAATAACAACACTTACTTCATTACGTCGAACTGAGTTAAATTTCACACCTGAGAATAAAAGCAGGGTTTGAGTTTTATCCGTATAATTACTTTAGGCACTCCATAGCTACATTAAATCGGTATTAAAAGATATTACAATATTTTCAATTTATTTGCCAAGTATAGAAATAGTCGTATCGCCTGGAAATATATCCAACGATCAGGTGGTAGGAATCAAATAAGGATAAACCCCTTGAAAACACTAGTATTGACTAGTAAGATAGATGAAAACACCCCCCCCCCCCACAATTTACCTGTTGTTGAACTACGACGAGAATCACTCGACTGAAATACCGATTGCATTTTTATTTTCAGTTTATCCCACCTCAACTGTTTCCATTAAAGCGCGCCCTCTAGCAATGAAGTGCTTATGTGACATTTTTCGGGCGAAGGGGGGGGGGGCAGCGAATAGGTGACAACATTTATACATGGGGAGCTTCTAAATATATATCCATATGTAAGCACAATTAATGTAACCCATGTGTTTATCACAGTTATAGTTTTCCGTCCTATGTATAAA